TATATATATATATATATATATATATATATATATATATATATACATATATATTGATATTGATATATATCAATTGGATTGATTTACTTACTATTATTTTTTTTTGTTAGGAGTTAAAATTGAACCGAAGGTAATATACATGCACTGACAAAAAATTGTTGAATTCAAATTATAAATACAGAAAATACAAAAATAATTGCAACACATTTTTAATTAATTTCTAAATTTGTGCTCAGCCTCGACACCGCTTCATTTTTAGTTTCTGTTCTGTGGATGCTTTTATCTGCAATTTCCATAAAATTGAGCGATAATTCTTCAGAAAATGCAAAAAATTCCTAAGTCTGAAATTCTTTTTGACTATAAGGCCCACAGATTCGGAAAGTACTCCTCGAGACCTTTCATTTGTGCCCAGCCTCGACACCGCTTCATTTTTAGTTTCTGTTCTGTGGACGCTTTTATCTGCAATTCCCCTAAAATTGAGCGATAATTCTTCAGAAAATGCAAAAAATTCCTAAGTCTGAAATTCTTTTTGACTATAAGGCCCACAGATTCGGAAAGTACTCCTCGAGACCTTTCATTTGTGCTCAGCCTCGACACCGCTTCATTTTTAGTTTCTGTTCTGTGGACGCTTATATCTTCAATTTCCATAAAATTGAGCGATAATTCTTCAGAAAATGCAAAAAATTCCTAAGTCTGAAATTCTTTTTGACTATAAGGCCCACAGATTCGGAAAGTACTCCTCGAGACCTTTCATTTGTGCCCAGCCTCGACACCGCTTCATTTTTAGTTTCTGTTCTGTGGACGCTTTTATCTGCAATTTCCATAAAATTGAGCGATAATTCTTCAGAAAATGCAAAAAATTCCTAAGTCTGAAATTCTTTTTGACTATAAGGCCCACAGATTCGGAAAGTACTCCTCGAGACCTTTCATTTGTGCCCAGCCTCGACACCGCTTCATTTTTAGTTTCTGTTCTGTGGACGCTTTTATCTGCAATTTCCATAAAATTGAGCGATAATTCTTCAGAAAATGCAAAAAATTCCTAAGTCTGAAATTCTTTTTGACTATAAGGCCCACAGATTCGGAAAGTACTCCTCGAGACCTTTCATTTGTGCCCAGCCTCGACACCGCTTCATTTTTAGTTTCTGTTCTGTGGACGCTTATATCTTCAATTTCCATAAAATTGAGCGATAATTCTTCAGAAAATGCAAAAAATTCCTAAGTCTGAAATTCTTTTTTACTATAAGGTCCACAGATTCGGAAAGTACTCCTCGAGACCTTTCATTTGTGCCCAGCCTCGACACCGCTTCATTTTTAGTTTCTGTTCTGTGGACGCTTTTATCTTCAATTTCCATAAAATTGAGCGATAATTCTTCAGAAAATGCAAAAAATTCCTTAGTCTGAAATTCTTTTTGACTATAAGGCCCACAGATTCGGAAAGTACTCCTCGAGACCTTTCATTTGTGCCCAGCCTCGACACCGCTTCATTTTTAGTTTCTGTTCTGTGGACGCTTTTATCTGCAATTTCCATTAAATTGAGCGATAATTCTTCAGAAAATGCAAAAAATTCCTAAGTCTGAAATTCTTTTTGACTATAAGGCCCACAGATTCGGAAAGTACTCCTCGAGACCTTTCATTTGTGCCCAGCCTCGACACCGCTTCATTTTTAGTTTCTGTTCTGTGGACGCTTTTATCTGCAATTTCCATAAAATTGAGCGATAATTCTTCAGAAAATGCAAAAAATTCCTAAGTCTGAAATTCTTTTTGACTATAAGGCCCACAGATTCGGAAAGTACTCCTCGAGACCTTTCATTTGTGCCCAGTCTCGACACCGCTTCATTTTTAGTTTCTGTTCTGTGGACGCTTATATCTTCAATTTCCATAAAATTGAGCGATAATTCTTCAGAAAATGCAAAAAATTCCTAAGTCTGAAATTCTTTTTGACTATAAGGCCCACAGATTCGGAAAGTACTCCTCGAGACCTTTCATTTGTGCCCAGCCTCGACACCGCTTCATTTTTAGTTTCTGTTCTGTGGACGCTTTTATCTGCAATTTCCATAAAATTGAGCGATAATTCTTCAGAAAATGCAAAAAATTCCTAAGTCTGAAATTCTTTTTGACTATAAGGCCCACAGATTCGGAAAGTACTCCTCGAGACCTTTCATTTGTGCCCAGCCTCGACACCGCTTCATTTTTAGTTTCTGTTCTGTGGACGCTTATATCTTCAATTTCCATAAAATTGAGCGATAATTCTTCAGAAAACGCAAAAAATTCCTAAGTCTGAAATTCTTTTTGACTATAAGCCCCACAGATTCGGAAAGTACTCCTCGAGATCTTTCATTTGTGCCCAGCCTCGACACCGCTTCATTTTAAGTTTCTGTTCTGTGGACGCTTTTATCTTCAATTTCCATAAAATTGAGCGATAATTCTTCAGAAAATGCAAAAAATTCCTAAGTCTGAAATTCTTTTTGACTATAAGGCCCACAGATTCGGAAAGTACTCCTCGAGACCTTTCATTTGTGCCCAGCCTCGACACCGCTTCATTTTTAGTTTCTGTTCTGTGGACGCTTTTATCTGCAATTCCCCTAAAATTGAGCGATAATTCTTCAGAAAATGCAAAAAATTCCTAAGTCTGAAATTCTTTTCGACTATAAGGTCCACAGATTCGGAAAGTACTCCTCGAGACCTTTCATTTGCGCCCAGCCTCGACACCGCTTCATTTTTAGTTTCTGTTCTGTGGACGCTTTTATCTGCAATTTCTATAAAATTGAGCGATAATTCTTCAGAAAATGCAAAAAATTCCTAAGTCTGAAATTCTTTTTGACTATAAGGTCCACAGATTCGGAAAGTACTCCTCGAGACCTTTCATTTGTGCCCAGCCTCGACACCGCTTCATGTTTAGTTTCTGTTCTGCGGACTCTTTTATCTGCAATTTCCCTAAAATTGAGCGATAATTCTTCAGAAAATGCAAAAAATTCCTAAGTCTGAAATCCTTTTTACTATAAGGCCCACAGATTCGGAAAGTACTCCTCGAGACCTTTCATTTGTGCCCAGCCTCGACACCGCTTCATTTTTAGTTTCTGTTCTGTGGACGCTTTTATCTGCAATTTCCATAAAATTGAGCGATAATTCTTCAGAAAATGCAAAAAATTCCTAAGTCTGAAATTCTTTTTGACTATAAGGCCCACAGATTCGGAAAGTACTCCTCGAGACCTTTCATTTGTGCCCAGCCTCGACACCGCTTCATTTTTAGTTTCTGTTCTGTGGACGCTTATATCTTCAATTTCCATAAAATTGAGCGATAATTCTTCAGAAAATGCAAAAAATTCCTAAGTCTGAAATTCTTTTTGACTATAAGGCCCACAGATTCGGAAAGTACTCCTCGAGACCTTTCATTTGTGCCCAGTCTCGATACCGCTTCATTTTTAGTTTCTGTTCTGTGGACGCTTTTATCTGCAATTTCGCTAAAATTGAGCGATAATTCTTCAGAAAATGCAAAAAATTCCTAAGTCTGAAATTCTTTTTTACTATAAGGTCCACAGATTCGGAAAGTACTCCTCGAGACCTTTCATTTGTGCCCAGCCTCGACACCGCTTCATTTTTAGTTTCTGTTCTGTGGACGCTTTTATCTGCAATTCCCCTAAAATTGAGCGATAATTCTTCAGAAAATGCAAAAAATTCCTAAGTCTGAAATTCTTTTCGACTATAAGGTCCACAGATTCGGAAAGTACTCCTCGAGACCTTTCATTTGTGCCCAGCCTCGACACCGCTTCATTTTTAGTTTCTGTTCTGTGGACGCTTTTATCTTCAATTTCCATAAAATTGAGCGATAATTCTTCAGAAAATGCAAAAAATTCCTAAGTCTGAAATTCTTTTTGACTATAAGGCCCACAGATTCGGAAAGTACTCCTCGAGACCTTTCATTTGTGCTCAGCCTCGACACCGCTTCATGTTTAGTTTCTGTTCTGCGGACGCTTTTATCTGCAATTTCCCTAAAATTGAGCGATAATTCTTCAGAAAATGCAAAAAATTCCTAAGTCTGAAATTCTTTTTGACTATAAGGCCCACAGATTCGGAAAGTACTCCTCGAGACCTTTCATTTGCGCCCAGCCTCGACACCGCTTCATTTTTAGTTTCTGTTCTGTGGATGCTTTTGTCTGCAATTTCCATAAAATTGTGTGATAATTCTTCAGAAAATGCAAAAAATTCCTAAGTCTGAAATTCTTTTTGACTATAAGGTCCACAGATTCGGAAAGTACTCCTCGAGACCTTTCATTTGTGCCCAGCTACGACACTGCTTCATTTTTAAATATTTTATTCTCGGTTTAAATGTAGAGTTAAGTGTTTCAAAGTTTTTCAACGTAAATTTTAATTAGGTTTTTATTTAGCGATTTCATTTTAAATTTGAAATTTGTAGGGAAAATTATGAAATTTGATGAAAACTAATATAATTTAGTTTACCTTTAATTTTCTCTGGTTTACTACTCCCTCTCTCTCTTTCTCTCTCTCTTTATTAACCCTTTGTGAACCGGAGAAAAAATCACCTTGGTTTGTGTCTTTGCTAATTAAATTTAAATTTATCTTGACGGACATTGTTTCTGTATCCTGAACTCCAACAGTGATTCTCACTACAAATTTCAGAATTCTAGTTCATTCCATTTGTTCAATATAAAGTATTCAATTTTAAGTACACTTGAGTACTTTTCGTACCCTATTAGTATGAATTTCCAGAAACCCAGCCTTATCACACCCCTACGCACCAAGACTGGCCCTGGTGCAAAAGTGATCTAAAAACCACTCTCTTTGGGGTTGCATTATCCAAGCACTCCATTGGCATCAGACTGACTTTGAATTTCTTCCTACAAACACCATGAACCTGACATTGTTTCAAAGTGTTTGTCAACAGTTTATGTAACTATTACAAAATATTTCAACACCAACTATCACTTAAAATTTTATTTAATTTTGTTTCATCGTTTTTATTTTTCTTTCTCTTCACATTTTAGTGACCCTGATATCTACGCAAATCCATTATCATTTCAACCTGAACGTTTTATGGATGATAAAGATAAGCGTCCACCATGCTCTTTTCTGGGTTTCGGTGAGGGGCCACGTATGTGTCCAGGTAAGTTGGTATGCAAATGTGTGTTTGTTCTTTGTCGTCAGTATGCTTTGTGCATTTTTTTCACTTTGTTTGCGTAACTTCGAGAAAACTATTTACAATGTTTTACCAAAACATAAAATATTTAGGTGGTCGTTTTGGTCTGGCACAAAGTAAAGCTGGCATTGTTTCTGTACTTTCGAAATATTCTGTACATGTTGCTGACAAGGCCCAAGGGAAGCCATTGAAAATTGCACCGACAACCTTTCTAACTGCAGCAGAGAACGGTATATGGATAAAGTTCAAAGAACGTGCATAAAAGCGGGAGAGAAGAAAAATAAAGTATACAAAGTGGAGTGAATATGAATTGGAAGAGTGGAAAGATGGTGATTATGCTTTAATTAAGAAATTATGTGTGAAGAAAATAAACAATGTATTTTAAGTGCTGAAGCATAAAAATATATTCACTACAAAAAGTACAACAAATTTGCCATGTTGTTTCATTAAGAAAAATAAATGAAAGCTGTAATATTTTTAGGCGATTATAGAGAGATTGAAAAATAAATAATATCTGGAAACTATCAAGACTACAGTCGTTGATTTTATGTTCTATTTTCGAAGCGATCATCAAGTTAATAATCTCACATTTTAAAGAAAGTTATTTTCTAGGAAACTATTAAAACAATACTCAGGGATTTTGAAGAATATTTTCTTAACGGCTATCAAATATTTAATCGTAAATATTTTCTGAGTAATAATCGTTAATTTTTAAAAATCAGTAAATTTAGATTTTTTTCAGAAAATTAGGCTATAATCACAGATTTTAAAAAAATATTTTCTGAGCGACTATCAAAGTCATAATCCATGACTTTTAACGAAGATTCTCTGAACGATTATCAAAGCGTTAACGTTGAATTTTTAATGAATATTTTCTAAGTAACTAAGAAAGCTGCAAACGTTGATTTGTTAAACACCTTCTTTGATTTGAAAACTACCCTGGAGGATATTACTAAAATCATTGCAAAATAGATACATCCAGTCTTCCATATGTACAGGGTGAGATGAAAAAACTGCAACCAACTTTAGAATGCTGTCATATCTGTCATAGTGGCCGAAAAATGGATCGTGAGCTGAATATATCGCAATATTTCATTCGAAAAATATTGAAAAATCAGCTCGGGGTAAAGCCATTGAAATTCCAAAGAGTGCAAGAACTTACACCGAAATAGAAAGAAATTAGACTCAAAAGAGCTAAAGAGTTGCTTCGCTTGGTCGCAAATTGTGGTCTGTCGAATTTGGTTTTCTCCGATGAGAAAACATTCGTTGTCCAGCAGTTTGTAAACATACAAAATTATCGTGTTTACTTGCCAAGGAGGCCAGCTGAAAATGTGCACCTTCGGTTGGCAACCAGAACTCAAGCGCCGGCCATGGTGATAGTATGGGCCGTCATAACAGGCGATGGTCGCTCTCTGCTCGTATTAATCGACCGTGGCATCAGAATAAATGCCGAATATTATCGCGAAAGATGTATTAAAGCCTTGGACACGCAAACATTTTGGCCGCAGACCTTGGACATTCCAACAGGACTCAGCACCATCATTTTGGTTACATAATGAAGTTCCTCGCTTCATTTCCAGAGCGCAATGGCCACCAAAATCTCCTGAGACCAATCCGTTGGACTATTGTGTCTGGAGTTTTTTTGAAAGGCAAGGTTGGCACTAAAAAATACCAAAATGTCGATCACCTCAAGCAAGCGCATCGCCGGGAATGGGCCAAAATACCGCAGTGTAATATTGGGGCAACGTGTGGCGGATTCATTGGCCGTTTGAAGGCCATAATTCTTGCACAAAGGTGTCCAATTCGAACATATCTAAACTTATTCTAAAATTTGATGCTATTTCCGACATTTTTTGCTTTCAATCAATAAAATTAAGGATTAGGAATTCAATACAAGTACTTAAATAAACAAGTAAAAAAGCAGTAATTTCGCCCGGGCCGAACTTTGAATACCCTCCACCATTTAGAAGGAATTTGAAATTTTTCGAAAAAGATAAGACTCGCCAAAAATTCTGTTAACTTTTTAAAAATACTGAATATAGCCGTTATATTAGTGCCTGTACGACGTGCACCTACATAGGCATCGTTTGTCACAAGCCATTACCATATTCAAACTCGAAACTTGAAATAAACGGTGGAATATGTACCAAAATTATCAAAATACCGCACATAGGTAGGTACCATTATGGACCTGCATAAACAATTTTCTGTCACAGACTGAAGCTTCCATTGCGAACTTCAAATACGACATTTCGAACAATTTTGGTGAGTATTGTACTTAAAATCGTCAAAATACCGAATATAAGGAAGTACTGATATATGGGGCATATACAAAGACCTGGACCTGCATATGCAATTTTTTGTCACAGACTGTAGTTCCCATTACGAACTTAAAATACGTAATTTGAAACTACTACGGTGAATAATGACGCTAAAATCATCAAAATACCGAATATTGGGAGGTACCGTTATATGGGGGCTATACGAAGACGTGGACTTGCACAGACAATTTTCTGTCTCAGGCTGTAGTATCCATTTCGAACTTCAAATTCCGAATTTGAAACAATTCCGGTGAATAATGTCGTTAAAATCATCAAAATACCGAATATCGGAAGGTACCGTTATATGGGGGCTATATGAAAACGTGGACCTACATGGCCCATTTACTAACTTAACCTGCTTACTGGCAAAAGTTTAGCCTTCTATCTCAATTCGTTCGAAAGATACAGACAGCTAAATCGTCTTAGAATTTTACGCTGATTAAGAATATATATACTTTGTTGGGTCTAAGATTATTACTTCGATGAGTTACAAACGGAATGACAAAATGAATAGTATGGTGGAGGGTATAAAAATATTAGCAAATAAATAAAAATAAGTGAACGTTCTTTTTTCCGGACTATACAAATTGTTTTCGTCTCCTTCAGTTAACTGCAATATGCTGCAGTTTTGTGAAAATATTTTGCAATTATTTTTTCGGCCAACATCAAAAAGAACAAGGCCAAAAGTTTTGGCAAAGCAAAAAAAAAAAAATCGTTAAAATATGTATGTATGTATACACAGCAAAATTCTTTCCCAAAAAATGTCAACACAAATTTCTTTTAGCCATTTGGCTACCCCCCAGGGCTACACAAAGCATTTTAATGCAAGACAAAGGAGGTAAGTAAATGTGTTTGGCATTCAAAAGTTTTCTTTGGCTCTTGTCTTTTATTAAATTGTTTGGTAGTTGTGCTGGCCAAATAAGCTGCCAATGGACTTTTTTGACAAAGAATGACCAACAGTTGTTTAAACAAGAAAAATAAAAAAGAATAACTGTTGTTGACATTTCTTGTTTTTGTTTTTTTTTTCGAAGAGACAAAAAATTAGACATGAAAGAAAAACTTTTACTCCTTTGGTATACATAGGAAGGAAGGGGTGGTGGAAAAGGACAAATACATATGTTTTTTTGAAGAACTGCTGCTTGGTTTATAAAAAAAACAGAGAAATTATTAAATTTTTTATGGCCTTGAATGTATAATTCACATCAAATGAGTCCTTTAAAAATACGTTCATTTTTATTTATTTAAAAAAAAGAGGATACCAGAAAAAAAAATTACAAATTTCATTTATAACTGTCGAATGGACGAACCCAAGTGCCAAAGACTCTAAGTAGATTAAAAATTATTTTTAATTATATTTTTGTGTTTTTTTATTGCTCGAATTTTCTAATCTTGTTGTTGACATTAGTTCGAGTGAAAATGTTTACAAGATTCATTTGACTTGATTTATTAAAGGCAGACAACTCCCAGCTTTGGCTGTGGCATATAAATTAAGAGCAGCCAGCATTGCAGATTTTTCTATTTGCCAACATAATTTGAAATCCAAACCCTGCCAAGAAAATTGCATAAATAATTAAAATCTCAAATGAGTTAAGTGCCAGAGACTAGGAGTGAAGGCTGAGTGGTTTGTTTGTATGCTATGGTGTGGTTGGGCTAAATGTTGACAAGTTTTTGTTGAAATTTCAAACCTAAATAGTGAGGGTGAATATTAGATTATGTTTATTCTAAAATTGTTGGATAAGTATATTCTTTGCTCTGAATGCTACAATTTGTATTCTTTTTGAGCATGTCGCCAGGGAACATGAGAAAATATGAGACGTAGACATCAATGGAAAGGACTTGATATTGGAAACTAGGGTAATAAACTAAGTTCTCGCAAAAAAGAAGAAAATCAAAGAGAAGTTAACTGATATTGTCAAATAACCATAAGTGCCCACTAACCATGAGGGGTGCTTAAAACTTGGCAGGTTTTTATGGTAGTTTACATTTACACTAGCAAGTGCCAAGCGCTACATTGTCAGGGAAAATCTTCATTTCAACAATTCGTTCTATGCCTTCTTCTACCCTCCTCCATAGTATGGAGGGTATATTAAGTTTGTCATTCCGTTTGTAACACCTCGAAATATACATTTTAGACCCCACAAAATATATTTATCCTTGATCAGCATAACATTTTTTAGTTATGTTCGTTCTTTTGTCCGTCTGTGGAAATCACTCTAGCTTCCGAATGAAATGAAGTAGGCTGATAGAATTTTACTCAAATGTATATTATATCTGCAGGACTTTTGGTATTGAAAATGTAGGTCCATGTTTTGGTATAGGCCCCACGTTTTGGTATAGCTTCCCTCCCTATTTTCGCTATTTTGGTATTAATTGACATTATTCACCGGAATGGTTTTAAATTTGGCATTTGAAGTTCGTAATGGATACTACAGCCTATGACAGAAAATTGTATGTGGTCCACGTCCTCCCAATATTCGGTACTTTGATGATTTTAGCGACATCATTCAGCGGATTGGTTTCAAATTTGATATTTAAAGTTCGTAATGGATACTACAGTCTATGACAGAAAAGGGTCTGTGCAGGTCCACGTTTTGGTATAGCCTCCATAGGTACCTCCCTATATTCGGTTTGGTGATTTAGCTACATTATTAACCGACTTATTTTCAAGTTTCGCATTTGAATATTGCAATGGCTTATGACAAAAGTTGCCTATGCAGGTCCACGTAGTCGTATAGATCTAAATATAACGGCTACATTCGGTATTTTGAGGATTTTTACTTGTTTTTACCCAAAATGCACAGTTTGTTCAGTTTGACAATTTAGTACTTTTCCTACAATGAAAGTACACATTACCAGGACCACCTCCATATCTCAATTCCGGGATTCTAGCTCTATCCCATCGCCAATATCAAATTTAATACCATTAAGTATTTTTCGAACAATCATAGTACCACTAGATCTCAACACCAGATACCCACCGAGACCTCAGTATCAATTTTCGGGATTCCATCTGTATACATTCACTCAGTACTATATTTAGTACCACTTAGTATTTTTCGAATATCAAAATTTCAGTATTCTAGCTCTATGCCTTCAACCAACACCCAA